ATGGACATCCCCCGAGGGCTCCCGGGCTGCCAGAGGGATATCTGACTGCCAGCTTAGGCCCAATCCTCTGGGGAGCGGGCCAAAGCCAGCAGGTGGTCATCCCCCAAGGGGTCCCAGACTGAGAGAGGGCACAGGCCGGGCTGAGAGACCGCCTGAGTGCACAAATTTTTGTGCACTGGGCCTCTAGTTGGTATAATAAATCAAAGCCATATTCTGCAAAATGTCTAGATGGCCTGGGCTCTTCAGACTATATTATGACAATGTGGGGAGTGACCATAGGCCTGTGACCATAAGTAAACTGCTGTCCCTACCTGTGAATGCAAACAGATCCTGATAGGGATGGTTAGATCAAAGGCTACCCATCTGTGGCCATACGGATCTGTCCTAGTCCTGACATTAGCTCAGCAGCTGCAATTTGGGCTACTACTAGTACTTGTTGTTTGCAGCAATCTATTATCACTCTCTGTATTTTTCCAAGGCCAGACTGATGAATTAAGTAGGGATGTGATGGACCCCGACCCTTTCCACATGTTTTAGGTCTTCAAAGGTGGCACTAATCTTTGCCATTTTCCCTGGTAGGGGAGATTGTTTTTTATTTATTATCTTGGCTGATGTGGGTGAGTGAGGAGAAGTTTCAGGGACGTTCACTTCTATGAAATCTCTCACCACTCAAACCAAGGAACCAAAGTGGGTGTTCTGCTGATTATCCCAGTGACCTATTCAGCCTTCTGGCTACTACTTTGATCTCAATGGTATATAACGATGGCACCCACTGTTCCTAAAGCTGAGCACTACCATCTTGTCTTTTTGTTTAAAAAATATATATATTTCTATTGATTTCAGAGAAGGGAGAGAGAGAGAAAGAGAGCGCGCGCGCGCGAGAGAGAGAAACATCAATGATGTGAATCATTGATTGGCTGCTTTTTGCACACCCCACACTGGGGACCTAGCACACAACCCGGGCATGTGCCCTGACCAAGAATCGAACTGTGACCTCCAGGTTCATAGGTCGATGCTTAACCGCTGAGCAACACTGGCAGGACTACCGTCTTGTCTTTATTATTTTGGGACCCCCATTGCTACCAGCAAGCCAGTTCTATAAAAGGATTCCTTGTCAGCCATGGCCTAGAGAGGATGCCCACCCCAGAGCCTGGTGTACGGTAAGGAACAGAACTTGGGAGACAGATCTTTGTTTACTAAACTATTATTTATTGAAATTTGCTAATGCTTCATTCTGCCCTGTGTGTAGGAATACTGCAGTGAAGAAGTCACTGCCTGAGGTGAATGGAGGGGGTGAAATAGAAACCCTGAGTTCTACAAACAAGATCCACAGAAACCTACATGAGGGCACTATGACAGTAATAAACTTTTTTCCTCCCAGGAATTCTGTACTGTCTCAAAGTCTAAAAGTAAAGATGGAGGGTAGTCTGGCCACAGATACTCGATTTGTCCTTCTCTGGCACTTGGTAGGAGAGAAGTTTCCTGCCTCCTTGAGGTTACTAGTAGAAGTGGCCCAGGACTGGCTTTTACCAATGTGAGTTGGAGTGATGCGTGTGACTTCCTGGCAGAAACTCTAGTTGTTGACCTTGGCTCCTCACAGCTCATTCATGAATGCAGGCATAGATCTGGAGCAGCACCTCTGCTGGCTGATACAGAAACTATGCATGCTGGCTTATCGCCAGGGTGGGACAGTACGCCAAGTACCAAATGGTCACAGGCGGTGACATCCTAACCCTTCCTTCCTTTTAGAACAGGAGCTAGGCGAAGAACAGGGTCCAATCTCATTCCAGCCCAACTGTGAAGCAACTTTGTTATCATGGGATGCGTATCTTGGGTTTTCTGGGTTAAGTGGATGTCGACAATTTGCACCAGGCACTGAGTCAGCCTCAGGACGTTGCAGGGAATGTGACAGGCACAGTTCTGTCCTCATGCCACTGACATTCTGGTGAGGCGGGAAGGCTGATGACTAACTAGGAAGCAAATTAATATAATGTTAGTGAGACGGTGCTCAGAAAGAAAAAAAGGGCATTATGACAAAGGCTGGCCAGCTACTGCAGCTAGAATGTTAAGGAGGGTATGTGACCAAGAGCCAGCCGGGCAGCGGACAGATGCAGGGACCCGCAGGCAGGAACCAGCTTGGTACAGTCCAGGAAGAGAAACAGAAACCACTGTGGCTTGAACAGCTGAATGGGG